TTTTTGAAGACAGATTTGCATTAAAAAAAATAAACAATTAAACATGAGACTGTTACATTTCTTGTAATTTCAAGAAAACACTGTAATTGGTGTGAACAAGCCCTGAAGGTTCCTTGCGTTCTGGGGTGGGAGGAGACGTGGTGGTGCATTGAAGCCAATGGCACTGCAGCCACGCACCCCAGCAGTGCGATCACCCGCACCATGCAGCATTTTTTACAATCGCACTGGAATGGAACACAGGCATTGACGTGCCCCTGCGCTATGGTGGGGGTGATAGCACTGCTGCCTCCTCCCACCCCAGAACGCAGGGAACCTTCAGGGCTTGTTCACACCAATTACAGTGCGTTCAAGCGTGGTTAGCTGCTGGAATGCGCTGCATCGCACACTAAACTCCCCCATGCCTCACACTGTGCAATTCAGTCTGTTCCAGCAGTGAATCATGCGAATCATGCTGGAACGCACTAGAGCTGGTGTGTAAAATATTTCAGAGCCAGCTATAATATTTGAGTCACAGTATATTAAAGGCTTCTGATTCTTAACAGTAGGCTGAAACATACTTGAACTCTTTCTGAAGTCTGTGTATGTGCCTAGGCATTCCTCGCCATGCTTAGCACTGAAACATGCAGAAAAGTTATAGGTTTAGCTTTGCACGGCTCTGCTCACTGTTTATAGGCAGGGAGTAGGAGTAAGGCCTCATTCACACAGCGTAAAGTCGGGCCGCACAGATCCCTGCGGCGTGCACGGTCGCATCGGGCCGTTCCCGGGAGGGACAGGTGCTGGATGTGATTGCACGCAGCAGCCTGTTCTTCCCTATTGAAGGACGCGGCCGTACGTTGCCATACACACTCCCCAACTGCACATCCGTGTGGGTCAGGGTCAGTGGCGTCACAAGGGGGTGCGGGGGGTGCGGCCTGTTGTCCCCTCCTCTCTCACCAAGATGGCCGCCGGCAGGTATCAGAATACTGTCGCGTGTGCGCGATGACTTAATCACGCACGCGCGTGGTGACGTCACGCGCAGTGACGTCTCGGCGGGGTGACACTCGGTTACCGCTCCGGGTGTCACCCAGCCTCTGGACGCCCCTGGTCAGGGTGTCCGTGCTCGGGCTCAGAAAGGATCCATCCTGTCTGCATCCAGGTACAGACACCTGGACCCGCACGAATGGGCAGCTCGGGTGTGCGTACGGCTGCGTACTCCCATAGTGAAGAACAGGCTGCTGCGTGCAATCACAAGCCGCACCTGTCCCCTCCCGGGAATGGCCCGATACACAGACGTGTACGGCCCGACTTTGCGCTGTGTGAATGAGGCCTTAGGGAGCACACACCACAGCAGTCTAGACTGAAAGTAAGATTAGAGCCAGAAATTATATGTTGACAGAACAACTACACAGAGCAGAGGAGATGAAGGTTATGTTGCTGTGCTGGATCACCTTTTCTCAGACTCATTGTGAGGAGCTTGAGCAGCGACACGTGGATCCAAAAACTCACATCCCTGCTTGTGCAGGTGACAGTCAGGCCAGGGTCATGAATAGAACTTCTGCACTTGTGATTGTTGGACTTCTATGATGGTCCACATTGTAATGGTGAAGTCTAGTTATGTCTTTAGACATATCTGCCCTTACAGTGATGAGCATGTTAGTCATACATTCTGAAACGGAAGAGTTTATTACAGTGGCAATGTCTTCCAGGAGACATCTCTATCCCACAATCTCCTAATTACTATACACCTTGCATCCTTATTGATTGAACCCAATCACCGTGCACTAGGTCAGCCAAGAGATCATCCTATATGGGGTTGCAATATAATTTAATTAAAGGGAAACTGCAGTTGTTTTAAAAAAAAAAAACCCTTGCTAGCTTGCAAATGCTTGTTTTGGTCTAGGAGCCGGAATACAGAAGATATTCTCACCTGATCCTTGATCCTGCCGCAGTCAGCACTCACCTCACTCCCCATCCGCTCCAGCTGTGGTATGTCCGTCAACCTCCTCGTGTCTAATGCAGGTGAATGGACTGCATTAGATGTGATGACGTCAGCAGGGCTAGACATCTGGGGAGAAGAGGCTTCGGGGACTGGTCTAGCAGCTAGGCAGGATTGAGGATTACGTGAGTATATATTTTTTTTATTAAAGCCCCTAGACCAGGGGTAGCCAAACTCCGGCCCTCCAGCTGTGGTGAAACTACAAATCCCATAACGCATCTCTCTCCGGGAGTCATGTCTGTGGCTGTGAGAATCTTGCAATGCCTCATGGGATTTGTAGTTCCACCACAGCTGGAGGGCCGAAGTTTGGCTACCCCTGCCCTAGACCAAAAGGAGTAGTTAACCCTTGGAGTGTGGAGCTAGCCCCACTGCAAGGGTTTATTTATTTAGAATCCCAGAATTCCTCTTTACGGTTCCCTTGCCTGTGTTGATACCAGTTAGTGAACAAAGTGGCAGAACATGAGACTAAAGTTTTTTTTTGTTCAACCCGTGGGCCGAATGAAAAAAAATAGAACAGATTCCGCCATCAACACTTACAAGCATGGATGGAGGAATCCCCCGCTGTTGCCTTTGTGTTTTGACAGCAGCTGCCAGCCACTGTCAGAATACATGAACAGTGTTTGCAGCTGATTGGGTACAAGCACCATACGTTTGATGATTTTCCAACTGGCTCCTTCGATCAGATGCCGTCCAGAAGGGTGCTAACTACAGCACCCATTGTGCACATTTTGGTTGGTTCTAGAAGAACTGTAAGACACAATTCACACAGTGTATGGCCATACAATGACACTTTTTAGAAAGTCCCACCACTTTCAACCAGCTATCAAATGCAAGCTATCTATAAGGCAAGGATATTGGTAGGTTGCCATAATTCATATGACCTGAAGTTGATTGTAAAGCTGACTATACACCTGCAGATTTTCTATGGTCAGATGGAAAAAGTGCAACAGATTCCTCCATCTACGCTAAACTGTGTGGATGGAGGATTCTCCCACGGGGCCAAGCTTCAGTATCTTGCTAGTCGGCCCCTCTGGCTGTCAAAACACCTGAACAGTGCCTGCATCCAATGAGATTGTTCAGGTATTTTGAGAGCCAGCGGGGCCGACTAGCAAGATACTGAAGCTTGGCCCAGTGGGAGAATCCTCCATCCACACAGTTTAGCGTAGATAGAGGAACCTGTTGCACTTTTTCCATCTGACCATAGAAAATCTGAAGATAATCTATAGATAGGTGTATGGCCAGTTCAAGGGGTTGAAATTGTCGAAAAATTGCCATGGGTATGGCCCACATAGGGTTACCCCCTAAACTGCATAGCCAGACAGCCCTCTGTAACCTCTGGCACCCAGTGCTTTCATTATGATAAAAGGATGCATTGGGTGTCTGTCATCTCATGTATATGGGCTGCAGAAGTACTGTAGAAGACCCAGAACCATATATAGCTGATCAGTGCCACAATTGAGTGTGTTTAATGGACGCTGTCTATCACCGTGTAGTTAATCCCCATGGCTACTATTGTTATTGCTACTAGTGATTGATAAATCAAGTGATCATGATCTAATATGGGCAAAATAAATGTTATACACTTGACCAAATGTAGCAGATGTAAGGTACACATGTAGCCAAGGGGTCCCATAGACCTTTATTGTAGCGATTTAATTACATCCTGGCTGGAAGGATGGAGATAATGGTAGCGCTTCACACAGAGAGCTGTACCTGGAGAAGGATAGCACAGAGATAAGTGTGATTAATACATTACACTTTTCTTTTGCTGTCCCTTCCAAAGATATTTTGTGAAGTTAATGTGTGTTATTATTAGGGCCGTCCCTATATGGATACAGTATGTGGCTGTTGCCTCAAAGAACACAAACAACATGGCCACTCTGCTCTCTGTTGTACATTGCTTGCAGAGTGCCTGCCGCCCCCTTTCTGGCCAGAGCATCCCAGTTTGCTAAGAGCTGACCTTCCTAAAGGTGCCCATACACTGCACGATTATCGTACGATAATCGTATGCGATCGGTTTTTCGAGCAGTGTGAACGGAGACGTGCGACCGTTTCTACTGTACGGTCGCACGTCTTCTGTCGAACCAGCATGTTCGAAAACCAGCCGGGAATCGTACGATTCTCGGCTGGTTAGAACGGTGCTCAGAAGACAAATGCCGAACGGGCCGGTGTGCGCACGCGCACACTGCCCGTTCAGCATTGCGGTCATCGGAAGCCCGCCCCTCAGGGGGGCGGGCTTGCGATGATCGAGAGTGCAATCTGCCTGTCCAAGATAGGCAGATCGTACGTTTTTTTAATCCCTGTACAACCATTGCAAGACTAAAGTCTTGCGATGGTTGTAGAGTGTATGGCCACCTTTACACATCTTCCCACCCAGCTTTTAGCAACCAGAGACACGTTCAGTTCCTTAGCCAAGCGCTGAGTAGCTGTTTATTGAACGCTTCAGCTGCACAGTGCTAAGCAAAATGGCGGAGGATTCAGTGTTAAACTCTGCCATTTGTTCAATTTCTACTGTTTTACAGGAAGAAACTGAGAGCCATGGCATAACCAAAACATTCAATTGTAGGTTTGCATGCTGAATTTTGATTTGCTCCATCGGGGCTCAGGCACCCTTCCCTATCGGCCCCAGTTACCACAGCCGCTGGTGCTCTGTCCCCCCTTCTCCGTCACACTCAGTGCTCTGCGGCCACATTCTCTTCCGCTGCGAGTGCTAAGTTAGCAGTGCTGAGGGCTGGCTTGCAGCACAGCGTCCAGTGATGGTTTGCTAACTCAGCACTCGCAGCGGCTGAGCGTCTGAATCACGCCTCAGGGATGATTTGGCCGGCGTCCCACCCAGCTCCCAGCAACCAGTGATGTCAGTGAGCTGGGAGAGATGCCCCCTGTTAGCATGCACCACCAGCACCCCCGCCTCAGGTGGCGAGAAAGCAAGGGACCCCCCTGGTCATCATGGTAAAATACATAGATGAACTTTTTTTGAAATGCACTGCAATGCAGCACAGCTATGAACAGTCACCAGTGAAATATTTCTTTCTTACATTGGTTATAGTTTCTATATATGATATATATTATAGGATACAGCGATGTACATTGGGTATAGTTTATATATATATGATATATATTATAGGATACAGTGATGTACATTGGGTATAGTTTATATATATATATATGAGATATATTGTAGGATACAGTGATGTACATTGGGTATAGTTTATATATGTGATATATATTGTAGGATACAGCGATGTACATTGAGTATAGTTTATATATATATGATATATATTATAGGATACAGCGATGTACATTGGGTATAGTTTATATATAGGAGATATATTATAGGATACAGCGATGTACATTGGGTATATTTGACATATATTATAAGACAGTTGTGTATTTTGTATATGACATTGCTATGATTCTTCCATACTTGCAGTTAGTCACTGCTTAGCAACAAGTTACATGAAGTACCATTGCAATGGAGGGGATAATACAAAGTAACCGAATACAGAGAGATAAGGAAAGTGGTTGATATAGTTCATTTGTATGTAAGCTGCTTTACACTAAACATTGCACCTTCCTGGCACTGCACGACCCCCACTGCCGGGAAGAAAGGAGGCAGCTAACACAACCAAAATGTGACATATCACTAAACCACAAAAAAGGGCGTTGTATGTGTGAGAGAGAGGATCCCCGGAGACCAAATGGCACTTGTGTGCATGCCTGCGGGGGAAGGATGCTGGGTGAGGGGGAAGGGCAGCACCGAGAGAGACCTCACCATGGGAGAAACGTGAGGTACGTGTTAGAGCCATAGAGAGCGCTGGCCGAGAGGACCCCCTCCTGTTACCCGACCTCCCGGCTGACTGCCCACAGGAGGAGACCGCCGGCTCTCAGTTTGAATTCATATATTGTGATGCATTGTTCTGTATCCTCCTCAATATGGTAGGTCCCATCTAGTTACAATGACAAGGACAGTCAGGGACGGTTGTGGGTACAGGTCATATTGCTATCTCATGCAATCAGCCATCCTTCCTGTACATTGCATTAGAAAAGAACAAAAGAAGAAGTTACAATCCCCCACCGACTCCTTGTATGTGAAAAGAATATCCCTGGAAGAGAATGGCAGAGGCATCACCATAGCAATAGACTAAACAAAAGCTGTGATCCAGGCGATGACTCGCTTTGTTATCATATCCATTGTCATATGAATCCTGCGGACCGGGATGACTGAACTCTGCTAGTATCTTCAGATCCAAACCAAGGACAGGGGATGCACCCTGAATGTCACTACATGGAGAGCTGATTGCAATCGTGATCAGCAATCCATTAAGATGTAGGGGCGATCCTTGAATAGGAAATATCTGTTTAGACCCCTAGACGTCGTTTGCCATGTACAGTGGTGTAAAATGCATCAACAAGTTGAACTTTTTTAATAAATAGGGAACACGTAATCAGTGCAATTCAATGATAAAGATGATCATAATTGTAACATTCAGTGGTTGGTATTTCTAAGTGATATTTAATGCTCATCATTCCCGATGGCTCCTGATTTATGAATATTATAAACACAGTAGTAAAATATTGTACCAGATCAATGATAAAAGTGATCCCCTTTATTGAATAACTCATTAAATATGCAAGCAATATGTATAAATACAGTCATGTATCAAGCCTGAAGAGGGGATGTAAGGAATCCCGAATCTTGCATCTAAAATTGCTTATTTTAGCCAATAAAGGAGATCACTTCAATTTTAAACTTTCTTCACTGTATGAAGACACTATGTAGATAAAAGTACCGGGAAATTATTAGTATTATTATTATATAGGATTTATATAGCGCCAACAGTTTGCGCAGCGCTATAATTAAAATGCACATAGCTGCAGTAGAGATTCTTGAGAAGTTTTAGAATTTTGGCAGACCTCCACTCCTCCTCCCCAGTGTGTAAAGGGTTAATAGATACGTGCGGGGCGCAGAGCAACCTTGGGGGTGTAGTTGCGGAATGCGGCCACTAGGGGACGGCACCGAGCAGAAGGGGCGGCTGACGTCACCGGTGTCACGTTGCTCCTCTTGCCGGCCGGGTTTTTTTTTACAGCTCGCACAGCCCAGGTCTGCATCATTTACGAGAAGAGAGAGGGAGAGCGTGGTGCTCGCTGTGCTATACGACTCGGGATTGCTATTACCTTACATCAGATCCGGCCATGGCCGCTCATCATTGATCACAGTGTGCGGCACCATCACGTTACCGATTTGGGAGAGAGCGGATCTTTGTGACATTATTATATTTGGGAGTTCCCGGACCTTGGTGATTATGCCTATGGAGCTAATGCAGAACCGGATAAAGAAGATCTGGCTGCCCAAAGATGAGGAGCCGCTGCTGCTTATGAATGGTAAGAGGCCGGGTACGCAGTGTGCCGGGCCGGGGGATGTGGATGTTGCAGCCATGTATGCAAGGTGCCTGCCCGGGTTATGTGGATGCTGCAGCCTTGTATGCAAGGTGCCTGCCCGGGTTATGTGGATGCTGCAGCCTTGTATGCAAGGTGCCTGCCCGGGTTATGTTGATGCTGCAGCCAGGTATGCACGGTGCCGGCCCGGGGATGTGGGTGCTGCAGCCAGGTATGCACGGTGCCGGCCCGGGGATGTGGGTGCTGCAGCCAGGTATGCACGGTACCAGTCCGGATCTGCAATGTGTTGGCTCACACGTTGCAGGGACGGGATCGATCCTGTACGACGAGTACTGAGCGGAGATTAATCACGTTTTATGTCCTGTAATTTTCCGTTGAATCTGTGTGCACCGGAAGGGATGGATTAGCGATCGGTGTATTGGGATGCAGGACACGCCATTAGCAGTGCATTGGGGGTAGGATGGAGATCGCTGTTACTAGGCTTGCAGTGTCTGAATTGATTTACGTCACTCTCCATTGAGGGGGATGTGCAGGATTGATTCATATATTCACCTAAAATAGAGCTTCTGATGACGACACTCCGGATTGCACATTGGGGGAGGGGAGGATGGTAGAAGCATCACCCCAGCGATCAGCTGGTGACTCAGGCATTCCTAATGAGGACATTCCTACATCATCTCCATCTATTGACTGGAGACGGAGGAGGGGTGCTCATGTCACAGGGAACCACCATTTCCTATTCCAGTCACAAGAGCGGTACTCCTCCTCCAGGGTTTCCCTTTCTCTTGTCTTCTATAGGGATTGGATGGGGCATTGCTGGTTATTGAGGACAGTCCCATATCTAGGGGCACATGGACTAGTTAATGTTAAAGTATTCCCTGGGCAAAATGTTTCTGTTGGGTGCAATGCAGAAGGGTTAGACCAGGGGTGGGCAAGATTCTCACAGCCACAGGCATGACTCCCAGAGATAGATGCATGATGGGATTTGTGGTTTCCCCACAGCTGGAGAGGTGGTGTTTGCTGTTGGAGTGCTCATTAGAGAGAGTCACCCCTCTATTTGTACTGATGTCCATTGTCGTGAATAAAGCTGGCCATTCATGGATCATATTTTGCTCATTCTCTGCTGAATCTGACAAAATGTGATTCTTGGGTGACCCTGCCAACACCACCTCTTCACACAAGTCGATTGGCACAATTGTCCACCCAGCTCTGGTCACTGTTTGGGTATTCTGAACTCCATTGGCACCTGTTATCAGAATACAATAGCTGGAAGATGAATATCACTTTGAGTTCAGGAATTGAGTGAATCTCAAGTCAAAAGTTTTTTTTAACCCATTTCAGATGCTGATTAAATCACTTACAATGGATGCTGCTCCTCGATATTGTAAAGGTTTAGTTTCCTGCACAACCAGAGGGTCCCCTGAGCACTGAACCTGATACCGTTTTTCCCCCGAAAATAAGACAGTGTCTTTATTTTTTTTTTGCACGAAATAAGACACTAGGTCTTATTTTCGGGGGATGTCTTACTTTCGGGGAAACACGGTACTGTGTTTTCGGGTGTCTCCTTTCCCTCACAGGATCCTATGGAGCCACCTGTATGTGTGTGCTAGTAATCCGTGTCTCTCTACAAACACACCGGCACAGCATGGAAGCATTCCACTTCCTACCCCTTCCACATTCATCCCTTTTTCAAGTTAGGCCCCGTTCACATATAGCGAATTGTCGCGCGATTTCCGCCGCGATATGGCGCATTTTTGCCGCGCGATATCGCGAGAAGTCGCCGGCCAATGTTATTCAATGGAGCTGTCTTAACTCCATGTCGCGGTCGCAAGTCGCTTCTACCGGACCCTTTTTTCGGCGGATTTTGCGCGATTTTACTTTTTTTCTATGGAGCCCGACGGGGAAGGTCGCGCTACCGTCGCTGGATCATCGCTGGAACGTCGCCCCGAAAGTCGCGCTATCCGGCCGTGCGGATCCGCTGCAAAAGGTATGTCGCTATATGTGAACGGGGCCTTAATGTATAGACAGACAGATGCTGGAGACTTTTCTTTTCCATTGTGATCTTGTACTGGGCAGGAAGTTCAGGGAAGTTGAGAGTTGGAGCAGTTTAAAAACGACTAAGTGCTTGGGAAAACATTTTAAGAAAAACTTTTCTGTGCAATGATCTGAATTCATGTAAAAAAAAAAAATGCTTGTTCCCATGACAACTGTCCAAGGGAGATGCATTAGATTGGAAATCTATTCTCTTGCTTCCTGTTAACAGGAAGTGAAATCTCCCTAAGACACAGATGGCAGTGGTTTTAACTCTTCCCTACTACATCCAAAATGAGACTAAAGTTTTGCCTTTAGATATAATTCGATGTCCCAGAATGTAGAATTGTCAGCATTAGGCGAGTCCTGCTTTCATGTATTCTAATTTGAAGGTGACCTATAATGAAGGTTATACAATTTTCCTATGACCCAATTTCTCAGTGTAATAAAACGGTGATCGTACAATGTCATAACTTCAGAATGAATGGTGGAAATATATTGGCTCTGAACTTGTGTTTGTTACTTGACTCCTCCTGCTTCATTTAATTTACTGGCTGGTGTCCAGTTTAGTGTTTTGTAATGGATCACTACTAAAATGATTTCATTTATTTCTGGAGGAATTATAATTGGATACCTAGTCCGGCCTCTGTCGCTGTCCTGAATTGAGCAGGGTTCTTCTAAGGATAGACTGAGGGGAATTTATCAAAACGGGAGCAAACAAAATCTGGAGCAGTTGCCCATAACAACCAATTAGCTTCTCTAGTTCAGTTCAGATTTGAAAATGAAAGCTAGAAGCTGATTGGTTGCAGTGCACAGCTGCTCCAGTTTTGATAATTTCCCCTCACTGTGTTTTTATTATAGAGTGCATTCTGCATATAATTCTAGAGTAATTCCACAAGAGGGCAACCACAACCCTTGCATCCTTACAGCAGAGTCATCTCGGGCTCTTGTCTGTAGATAGTGTCCAACTTTTCTCAGCCCTGTCATTTTATATATTTATTTATTTTAATCCCCTGTTACCTAATGCTGGGTTGTCCTCAATTCACATATTCACCCGCCCAGCAAATCCAGCGTTGTCCTGCTGTGATCCGCGTTCCACTGTCGCACACCACGCCTCACAGTGCCATCTTCTTGACATCATTGGGAGCCAAGCTGTCTTTTTTCTGGGTTCAGGTAGCCAGCCCCCATTGATACGCTGCCAGGCTAGCCCTCCTCTTATCGTTCATTGTATGGAAGCCGATGCCTCCTGGGGTATGTGATGTGCATTTTTTTTTTTTTTTTGGGTGAAGGGGCCAATTAAGTCACTAACACTGCAGAGATGGAGATTGGACTTTATACAGGATTGATATAGCGCCAACAATTTGCACAGCATTTTACAAAATGAAGGATGACAGTACAGTTTCAATTTAGGAGGGCCCTGTCATGAGAGCTTACAATCTAGAAGAAGGGGCAAGTGTTACAAAATACACTAATTGCGATGGATGAGCTGATGGAAGAAGTACAGTTATGTGTAGGTTGAATAGGCTTCTCTGAAGAGATGAGTTTTCAGGGATCGCCTAAAGGTGGACAAAGTAGAATATAAGGGGACAGGTTGGGATACGGAGTTCCAGAGGATGAGAGAAGCTCTGGAGGTGAGTCTGGGAGGGAGTGAGAGAGCAGGAAGTCTTGCAAGAATGGTTTAGGTGATATTTTGAGATGAGTTTGGTGATTATAGCTTGGAGAGAGTTATAGATGGTTTTGTATGTATTTTTTTTTTCCTCCAGTCTTCACTGACTGCATGTTTGTTCCAGGTCAGTTGCTTCCCAAGTTTGGGAGCCAGAGCCTGGCATTCAGTAATATCGGCTCAACTGTTTCTTGAAACAGTAATTAGTCAGCCCAGCAATCACTAAAATGGGTAAACGTGACAAAATGTAGAATCATATTTGCTGAGCTCTCGGCAATGGCGAGACAGACCACTAATCCTGCATCACGTGTAGGTAAAGGATGTCCGGTCACCGGTGGAAGTCAAATTAGGCAGGTAGACGTTTTGTCCGGATTAGCAGTCTTAAGAACATTCAGACTGTCCTCTGCAAAGGTTTATTCAGGATTAGGATCCATTCTCACCCTTTTATTTTTAGTCACAGCACCGTTTAGGTATGCACAATCTTGAGGCACCCCATTCTCAAATAAAAAAAAAACGTGAATGGGAACAATGTTATGCACCCCCAAAATCATCATGATCATTCTATTTGAAATGTAGAAAGCGTATAAAATTGGCAAAGAATTCACAGCGCTTTGTATGCAAAGTCTGCCCAGTGACGTATAGATGTCTATGGCCAGCCATGTTTTGCCTACATAAACGCTGGTTTTCTTTTCTCCAGCTGCTTTTCCTACCTATGTAAATGGCTGCGTCAGATATTTGTCCTCTTCAATCCTCCCCACGGATCCCGTGACTAAGCATGCTAGCGTGTTCTGTTTGATGCTAGCGGTTTATCACTGAAAGGAAGCTGGAGGTATTTGACAAACATTCCATCGCCACACTCCACTGCTTGTGCTAAACACCAGCCGTTCTGTATAATGTGCTGGATACAGATACACAGCAAGGCAAAATTACAAAATGTGTCTGTCCCTGTGAGCTTAGAGGTGCAGGTAATTAAACATGCTTGGGGTCTTATCAAGTTTTTGATGAGCCAAAGTTCTAATCGTCTTCTTTTTTTTTAACTTTAATACTGCCAAAAATAAGCTCTCAATGTGCAATAAATACAAAGCTGTAATTTAAAGAAATTAGGTTGGATGTTGAACTCTCCATACCCTGACAGCTGTGTCCCTTGGGGCAAAAAATTGAGTTGTAAATGAAGGTACACAAAGGAGGAGTGAGTCAGCAGATGGTATCTGCTTGCTGAATCCTAGGTGGACTTCATTAATCATGCCATTCTGGGTTGTATGCAGTGGCCATATCTGTGATGACCAGTGTTTTTCCCTTTTTCTGCACCTAAAGGGGAGAAGCAAATGCTTTCCAAATATGGCACAATCGAAGCAAGTGATTCAACGGATTTGAGCATCTTTTTTGATAATTGGACCATAAAGAGGTTTAAACGCCTCCAATGGTTGCATCAGGAAGAGCTTTTGCCATTGGATCCAGCAATGTGCAGCTCGTTGGAGGATGGGCAGATGTCTCCCTACTCCAGGGCTAGGCAACCGTGGCAATCCATCTGTGGTGACGCTACAAATCCCGTAATGCCTCTGGGGGGTTGTGGCATTAGGGATTTTGGAGACCCTGATGTCTCCATAAAGAGGGCCTGTCATCTAAATTGACTATCACATAGTGGGCCTCTTAGCCCCCCATGTGATAGCAATAAAGTTGTGTAAAAAAAAAAAAAAGTAATAAAAAAATTAAAGAATCCAAAAAAAAAATAAAGCATTAAACAAGAAGAAAAATATTTTAAGTCCTCTGCCCCCCACATACACATATGCGTCGGGTGCGCCTATTGTGCCGCACATGTTACGTATTACCGCGAACGTCGGAGTGTGAGCAATTTTAGACCCATTAATTACTGATAACACTAAACAGATGAGCGGTAAGTGTTTTAATCGGCGCCTATGGCCAATTTTCAGTGTGGTCGTTTTTTGCCGGTGCACGCAATTTTAAGGCTTGACATGTTTGGTGTCTATTTACCCGACGTGACCCCGTCTTTTATGTTTTACCAAAAATATGCGTAAGAATAGATGTTTTATAACATAATGTAGGGAAACTTTGTGGGGTTTTTTTGTACATTTACTGTACTTTTTTCATTATATAGTAAAACCCCTCCCCAGTGGTGATTTTATATACTACCAAAATAAAGCTCTATCTGTCCCCAAAAAATGTTAACATAAATTGCAAGGCTATAGTCCGGTCATGCTGACTGGTGACATTTTTGACTGACTGGTGAGACACCATCAAATTTTTCAAGCCCTGATGGCACCTGTCTTTGTCATTCACAAGTTATGGGTGACGGAGTCTTATAACGCAAGCCTATTATCAGATTACATGCTGATTCTACTGTACATATATGATCCCTGTCCCAGTCCAGAATATTAGTCTGAGCTGTTGAACGTGCTCCTTCTAGCTTGGCAGCCAAAGCCAGTTTTCTTACCAGTTTTGAAGAAATGCAAGGGCTTCATAAAAGTAAGTGGAGAGAACAGTTATTTAGCTCTCATTTTGAACATGCATTTTTAGATAAATCTTTATTTTACTCTTTTTACAATTAGGGTATTACTTTCTAGGCAGAATTTCTGGATTTTCACCATCTGTCTGGGGAACTGTGTAGTGAATAGAAGTTTCAGCCATGTCCTTTTAGGTTGACATTTTTGGCTTGTGGCTGTTTGAGGTTGGGTGGTTTCTAAAGGTTTACGGTCTGCACCTGCTGTTTTTTATGTGCCTGGGGCTATGGGTGGGATACTTGGGAAGAGCCTTCCACTGTAAATAGCTGGACAGATCTAATTAACACACAAAAGGCAGTATGTAAAGCCAGATCAGTGCAATTTCTTTCTTTTCAGTCCTTTGTGTTGTCTTGAGCTCCTGAGATAAGACAAACTTATTTTATTTCAAAGAAGATCTCCATCTGCCCTTTTTAAACAGAAACTTTGTAGAACTTGAGTATCTCTTTATCAGATCTGCAAAGTAAACCTTTATATTTCCTTATATGGCCTCGCACATCTATCCTATCCATCCATCTATCCATCTATCTATCATTCCTAGAATTAACTAGCATTTATTAACACGTCTTAATGAAAAACAGTAGCTCAACTGATCAAAGGAAATGGGTTCCAGAAGATTTGCTTGACCTCCAAAAAAGTTGTGAACTATGTAATTTAGAGACAAAAGTAGTAGAAACAGTTTCCGTGTACGCTGCTTGTTCCTGATAACCCTCCTTTTGTTTGCGTTAATCAAATGCGTCAGGAATGTTGATTGGTGCCAACTTCCTGGCATAGAATAGATGATATGTGCTGTCTGTGTGTGATAAGCCAATTATCTGTCCCAATAGCTATGTCAATAGTTCTCACATTTTCTTTTATATTCTGCAGGGAGTTTAGTCAGCTGATTCCCAAAAGCAGTAGAGCAGCTCATTGTCTTGTCAAGGGCTTCATGTTTACACATTGCCACCCTGTTATTGTAGATATACATTTACATGAAATTTATGGATGTTTTCTAATTATATTTCAGTGGGTGGACCTCAGCTTGCCAACTCCCCAACTGTGATTGTAATGGTTGGACTACCAGCCCGTGGAAAGACTTACATATCGAAGAAGCTGACACGTTACCTCAACTGGAGTGGAGTACCTACAAAAGGTGAGCTATATCTTCCTCTGTATAGCATACTCATCTTAGCCTTCTCATCTTCTTCCTCCATGTAGCATTCTCATATCTCCCTCTGCTTCCTTCCAACTCTGTGAAGGATCCATCCATTCCATATCTATGACAACGCTAGGTGTTCTATACCTATTTGATGTAAAGCTTCTTTGAGATGAATTCAGGTTTGGCTCTTATTCCAAAATGTCCTCTATTATATTGAGATTTTATTGAACCTAGGAGTAAAACCTTAAGTGACATAAATAAATATTATGATTTTAGGAGCATCAACACATGATTTGCATGCATTATTATGATACAAATAAAAACTGACATTGCTCTTTAGGCAAAGAATACAACTCTGCTACAAAGAAACTCTAAACTTGACTTCTGCAGTCACTGTTCTGGTTTTCTTACAGCTGCAGGTGGTGGCTGTCAGAATATAACACCCGGCATGAGAGATTTGTCCATCCATACTGTTGTGTGGATGGGGGAGTCCAGTAATTTCTCTTTCAGCCTGCTGAGCCGAATAAGAGAGTTACATGTATGACCAGCTTTAGTAGAATTGTTCACTTGGTTATTATTAGCGATGGTGATCAGGCTTTGCAGCTTTCTCCAGACTGGAAATCTTTTCTGAGTGCTACAACACATATGGTACACCGGCATCCTGATGCACCTTCTAAAAGACCTTATTAACCCTACAAAGCCTTGTACTCAGACTTGACAATGCATGCTTTGTCATACAATAACATCCATATGGTGATCGGCTCAAATCACTGTACCGTTGGTGCTGTCCAGTAGCCCATTATGTCAATTAATACTTTTGCCGTTTTCAGGACAGTTTGCTGCCGTCGTTTCATGGCACAAAAATGAACCTGTGCTTCGCTTTAATTCCCCCCTCCTGATCAGCACATGCTTGCCTTTCTATTGATCCCCCTACAGCTCTGTTTGGCTGCCTGGAGCAGAGTTTCTCATAGTTATAGTTGTAGCCTACACAGGGGTATAAACTCTGCTTATGTAAAAGCGCAGGTGGTTGGGGAATGGCCCAGTGTGGTGACATGCTCTTCCGTACTCGGGAGTATTTTCTTTATTGACATCTGAGTGAAGCGAAGGAAAGGTACATTGGCCAACCCTGCATGAACAAAGCACTGGTTGGGTTACAAAAGTGCTATGAGAATTAATATCAAGTTTTGAAGTTTTTCATTTTAAGTAGGAGGCTTAAAAATGACTATCCTGTATGTTTAGTATCTTTTCCTTTAGTCATACGTCTTTTCAACTCTTGCATTAAAAATGTTGGATATATTAATAACGCATCCCATTTTTTTTCTTTTGATTTTTAGTGTTCAATGTTGGGGAGTACAGACGTGAAGCTGTTAGAGAATTTAGTTCTTATGACTTTTTCCGCTGTGACAACCAAGAAGCCATGAAAGTCAGAAGGTTGGTGTACTTGTGCGCTAATATCTGTCATCATAGACTACAATGAAAGACTGTCTCATACCACTTGGCTGGTGCTCAAAAGCTGTTTTTGTTTTAAATGTAATACATTTTTTTTTTCTTTTCCCCCGCAGACAATGTGCCTTGGCTGCTTTAGCAGATGTGAAATGCTACCTGACTGAGGAAGGTGGACAGATTGCTGTAAGTTCTGGTTCTCTTTTCTTTCCCTCTGTATTGCTGCTCTGAACGACTCATTACTGAACAGGTCTTTGTGCGTGTTCCAGGTCTTTGATGCCACAAATACAACCAGAGAAAGAAGAGGATTGATTGTTGATTTTGCCAAAGAGAATGACTTTAAGGTTAGTTGGCAGAAATAGAACATTATTTATTTTTTGTAACCCTTCACACACCATCCAAAACTTTAAAATAAAATGATAGATACACTTTCAATTAAGTCAGTTATCCCCAAAAAGAATATTAAATTGCCCAGTAGTAAGTTTGTGTTTTTATTTTTCAGGTGTTCTTTATTGAATCTGTCTGTGATGATCCATCAGTTGTTGCTAGTAATGTTTTGGTAAGTATCCAATTCCTCTTGTCTATAAAAGCTAGCAGTTTATTTTGAGGTCTTATTAAACCGTGTTAGGGATTGTTATAATTGTAATGCTTTGTTGCAATTGTAGGATGTTAAACTGTCCAGCCCAGACTACAAAGGTTGTTCATCAAAAGAGGCTTTGGATGACTTTATGAAAAGAATAAGCTGCTACAAGAACATGTATGAACCTCTTGATCCAGATGGTTATGACAGGTAAGACCTGAATCCTGCCCAATTTTTATTAGCTGGTGATGCACCATAATATAATTCTACTTGGTGTTAGAAAAACTCCTTCACTTGTAAATTGTGTAGAATATTCCTTCATTGTATTTGCCACATTGATTTCAAAGAACAACTTGAAATATGCATTTACTACTGATTTATGAGAACAATGCCCGATATAAACTCCATCGAAAATACTACCTTTTGATATACCTGTCACAACAATGAAAACACATTTGTTGGCTTATTAAATAAATAAATAAATAAATAATGCAAAGTGCATCAACCCATAGTGGCAAGCCAGTATTGACTGCCGAAGCCAGAGTACTGCAAGATGGATTCAAATGAGTGGCTGTAGGACATTGAGTTGCTATAGGACAATGTATTTAACACGCTTCTCTGTTCTCTTTGGCAGAGATCTCTCTATGATCATTGTCATTGATGTTGGCCGAAGGTTTTTGGTGAACAAAGTTCAGGATCATATCCAAAGCAAGATTGTATATTATCTAATGAACATCCACGTCCAGCCTCGCTGCATCTATTTGTGCCGAGCCGGTGAAAGCGAGAGCAACGTCAAAGGGAAAATTGGTGGCGATTCTGGGTTGTCCCAGCGAGGCAAAAAGGTAAATATTAGAGATGGCAATCTCTATACAGAAAATAAAATGTGTGAATTCCATTAAATTGCATCATTGGAGGTTGAAATATTTTCCTTATTAGTTTTCCATTGCCCTGAAAAAATATGTTGAAGATCAGAACTTGAAGGAACTTAAAGTGTGGACCAGTCAGTTGAAGAGAACCATCCAGACTGCAGAAGCTCTGAAAATGCCCTATGAGCAGTGGAAAGCTTTAAATGAACTGGATGCAGTAAGTTTGCAGTTTTTGTTTCTTTATACTACCACTCCTTATTTAACTTGTTACGATGGCACAGCAGTTTTTACATAATCGCCTATCTTGTACAACTGTTTCTTCTGCACCTATCAAAGTGTCATACACTGGTTGGTGATTATTGTGAACCATATAAAACATTTGGTGAATTTAAAAGTTCAGCTGCTGAAATTCTTTTAATCTAGGTTCTCCTAGGGGTGTGTGTGGGTTTTTTTTATTTTACAAAACCCAATAAAGGGTATAATTACTAGTCTAATTTAAAAATTTGCCTCCATTGCCTAGTAGCCACAAACTATTGTCTTCTAGCTGTTCTAACTTTCCATGGCCTAAATCTGATAATTTGCTCTGTGATAACACAGGTCATTCCCATTTCAGACATGTTGATCAATGAGCCCCTTGCATCATTTCAGTGGTTTTTGTAACTCCTATAGTTTGGGTTATCATGGTATCTTACACCCAGAATGCCATTTCATGTAAACATGCATTCAGTCAAGGCACACTCTTGTGTAGGATAATATGTCATTTAATTAACTGTTTCCTTTTTATAATACTGAATTTTATTCCTGCTCACAGGGAGTGTGTGAAGATAAGACCTATGATGAAATCAAAGAGCAATATCCTGAAGAATATGTGCTGCGTGCACAGGATAAATACTATTATCGCTACCCATCAGGAGAGGTGAGTTGTGTGGGTTTTTTTTTTTTTTCTTACTACTTTGCTTTTATGTTGCATTTATACCAGAGATTTGTAATGGAATACAGTAAACTGGTAAAGGAGCAAAATGTTAATTCTTGATTTCCTTTCTTAAGTCTTATCAAGATCTTGTCCAGCGTCTGGAACCTGTTATAATGGAACTTGAGCGGCAGGGAAATATCCTAGTTATTTGTCATCAGGCAATTATGAGATGCCTTCTGTCTTATTTTCTGGATAAATCTGCAGGTAATACTGTGTGTATATTGTATGTGTAAAATATATCTATCGCTCTTATTTTTGGTAGCTATAATAACCGCCATCTATATTGCACTTTAAAATGACCACTTTTTTTTAAAGTAAATTTTTTTGTTTTGCATTCCAATTTTTTCCAGATGAGATGCCATATCTTAAATGTCCGCTGCATACAATGCTTAAACTGACTCCATATGCATATGGTAAGTGTTTTTTTTTTTTTTTGTCAATTTAGTTGTAAGAATAGTATTTTTGTAAAGTCTTGCCATGATCAAAGCTATTTCGACCCCGTAATCACTATCGATATAAAGGTGAAACTAAAGAAAAATGCAATCTGTGGTGTGTGTATTATAAGCCAGTACAATAAGGTTACTCCCAGAATTGATCGACCACTAATTGACGTGCATCTATCTCCAATGTTTTTATGCTTTTTATTTTCCCTTTAGGCTGCCATGTGGAGACGGTTACGTTCAATGTGGATGCTGTTAACACTCACTTTGAAAGACCAGAAGTAAGTTTTGGGGTATTTTTTTTCACTTGGTACCTCTGTTGAAAATTAGAAGTGTAAACTATGCAACGGTTGCTCTTCGGCCAGTACACCATTGGGTCTTGTTTACATGGGCTTCAGCTTGTGTAAGAGCAGTGTGTACAGCAACCTTTTTGATAGTCTTTCGACAATCTTTGATCTGTTTGTGTTCTACCAGAAAAAGCATAGGGATTGCCAGGCATTGCTTGAGAATCTGGCTCTTTGGAAAATTGGCTTGCCCATAGCTGGGCAGATCTTTCTTGACAATACGAGACAATGACCGATTTGTACAACTTCGCTCAAAACACAGGGCAGTTATTGGATCTATTTATTTTTATTACTGGGTCTTCAATGGTCAGATTTTTTTTTTCTGTAGGAAAATCTGTGTGTGCAGTAACATACTTTTCATACTTGCCATTCTTGTTACAACTTAAAATATAACAATTGCATGACTCTATAATCGCAGGAAATGTCAAGTTTGGTTGTCTGTTTTGAAAAATTTGAAGTCATGAATAAATATAAATGTTACTTTCTGCTTCAAATATGAAAATGATAATGTTTACCATGTCACTTTAATTTGCACAGGAGAGCAAGAAAACCCCTGCCCCACTGATGAGACGCAACAGTGTTACACCTCTAGCCAGTCCTGAACCAAATAAGAAGGCACGACTCAATAGCTTTGAGGATCTTGCTGCTGCGCTATCTGGTTGTGCAGCTCAGGAGCCACCTACTGTACAGGCTACACAGGTCAGTACATTCCTAGGGCTAGTGAACAGTCCTTGCCTATTTATAGGTGATGTGAGAATGGGGCTCTGCTTAATTGTGACTACTAGGCCTATCTTCTGCTGTTATGCTGTGTTAATTTTTAAGAGTCCAAGGGAATGTGAAAAACCTTTCTGGACTTGCTGTTCTATCTATTCACATAATCCCTTTTTCCAGTTTATCTACAGTATGTATTCCTACTTCTATCCTTTGATCTGCACTTACCCTGCCTCCTTTTTTCCTTTCAGCCTTTGCTAGGAAAGGCTTGTCTGTAAGTATTGCTGCCTTCACTTCTGTTTTGTGCTTTTATCAGCTAGTACTAATGCGTTTAACATACAACTAATCAGTCACCAGTTGGAGCGTCTTTTACTAACCTGCTTATACCAAGCTGGTGTCTTGTGAGCCACATGTGATTTAGCAGCTGGTTTCATGCAAACTGAAAAACAAAATGGGCATGTAGTCGTTGCGCATAGTGTTGCTTTTTGGCAGTAACTCCAACGTTGTGCTTATTTTCTTTTTACGCAATCTTCATGACTCCGCACCCAAGTTATTGCCAGGCTGTACACGGTAACTTCCATCGCTTGAAGGGATTCTCTTAAATGTTTTTTTGGCAAATGGAAACCTCTTTACTGTTGGTCATTTTGCCAAGACCCCTGCTGATAAAGATATTCAGACAATGTAAATGAGATGCAAGGCTGCAGGAGCACTTGTAGCTGCAGCCATGGCCAATTGGTAACTATAGCCTAACTATAGCCTCATATAGCCTTGGTAGCACTATCCCAACAGTGCAGGAGTGTACTGCTTTCTTGCTGTTGGTGTGCAAAACCCTTTTTAAGAAATGTGTGTACAACTAGTGGAATGTTGTGATATGTTTGTCTCCATTATTGATTGGTATATGTTGGGCTCTTTTGTCGAATGGATTTTACCTGGTCTGTCTGTCTGCGCAAATACTTAATATAGTCCACTGACGTTAAATGGACAGCTGTTTGGGTGAAGGCACACCCACTAAATTAAATTTCCCTTCTCTTCCCCTCCTTTTAAAGGCTATCAGTTGTCCATTACATCAGTACCTTGTTTTTATTTCGAAGGTAATTGTTTAGGTGCATGCCAGTCACTCCTCCTGTGCCCCCTTACCTTTGTCCCCATGTTGGAGGATGGCAGATTGTGCCCATTCACAGGTGTATGGGTTTTCCACTTTAGTCTTCACCATTTTATATGTACTATTGGCATGCTCAGTGTTAGTTCCAGTGCAGTTCACAACAGAGGTGACTTTATAAAAGTTACAAGAAATCTGCACATATGAATTAGGAAATTGGGGTCTCTGTTGTATATATCTATGTGTAGGTGACTAGATGGTGTTTTGGGAGGCGTAACCTTTCAGGTTTTGTCATGTTTGAAATCGCCGCAATCACAACACTATAATCTGTTATGACCGTCGTGCTTCTTTCTGAATTGGTCATCTCCCAGCATGTTGAGCAGAAAATGCTGTCAATGTGTTACTTAGAATTTTTAGCCTTCTTTTGATGACTTTTTGGATGATTTATGTATTTTTCCAGTCTTTCTTGCATGTTGATGTAATTGCTGGGTTTTTTTAAAACTAAAGTGCATTATGGCTACTTCTGTAGTGGCACAGAGCCATCAAACATAATGGGGATGGGAGATGGAGTTCAGTAAGCCCATTGGTATCCATTTGCTGCCATATTGGCTTCTGAATTGGCCTTTTGTATGCATGGTTACAATTAAACACCATTTATGTAACGTGGACCACAAGTCAGAAATTAGCTTTCCATCCATCTGCCTTCCCATACAGCTTGTGTTCTGTAAAAGCTAAAAAGTTTACCCTAGATTTACCTATGTCTGTTTAGTCTATGACCAGGTCTGAGTGGTCTGTCTCATGGTCCAATAGGCCATAGGATTCCCTTGTGCTTCCTGCCTAATGCTGCGGCTTTTGGACCAGGAACATGAGAGGTTCGAGAATGAATTGGCTGCCTTTTAGTCTTTTACGTTTCCAGTCCCTTAGGTGCTGTGTTGGGTAGGAAGGTCCTGCTGGAACTGGAGTGGGTAATGCAGGTAAGTATTTGGGAGCCATTTTCACTTTTATAGAACACAAGTAGCATTGGGAGGCAGGCAGACATAATTAGTTTCTGACTTTAGGTCCACTTTAATATCACCACAGTCCTTCTTTGTAATGTTAATGAATTCCTTTACTTTGGTCATAAAATTCCCAGCAACAATTGATGTTTAGTAATTTGTAGTCTCATTAGTCCAATATTGTGTACTTTTGCCTGTTGCTGTGCCGTGCCATAAGCATCTGTGTATAACCTGCATGTTCCACATATTTAGCACTTATTGGTTTATCGCCATGTGTAACATGACTGTGTATTTTTTCTATTGCAGGGTGTGAGTCATCCCGAGCAGCACTGACGGTCCTTAAAGGACAAGACCATGATCAATGAACATCTTACCCTCCGCTGCATTCCATTTTCCATGTTTAACACATGCTTACAAACTTTTTCACTGGACTCGAATGTCTGAGCCTGCAGCTGCTTGTATGTCTGAACAAATTTAAATCAAACTGGAAAGGGAGACAGACACCAAAGCAAGTTTGCTATGTCTCTAAGAAATGAAGAAGCCTCCGGTCATTTCAACAGTGGGGTGTACAGCTGGAGCTGCTCGTACGCCGCCAAATCTTTATTTTACTTATGTGTGTGTTTTTTTGTTACCTTTTTTTATTTTTTGTAGACCTAGTACAGTTTATTTTATTATTCTTCTGTTTTAGAAAGTATTAACCAAAACAGCAAAAATACAGTTGAATTAAATGTAGATAATGTAAAGGGGAAGAGAATACTGTATGCTACATTTTCATTGTTCCCCCGTACATCTTTTTGTTTCTCGAAGGTACCAAGTTCTGAAGCAGAGTTTAGTAGACTTGCCACTCTGTTACCACAGAATTGGTGTGACGTTTACTCTGTGGTCTGGGTTGCAGTACTGCTGGTTTTATATGTTTCGGCTTTTCTTTGATGTGTACATAGATATAAATGTCTCTTGTGTGGAGTCTGCTGGTCAAGTATACTGCAGAAACAGATGTTCTGAACTTCACCAACATCTCATAAGACTGTCTACTCTTGGTTGTGCAACATGCTAAAAATGTTTCTAGTGTCATGGCTGCATCCTAGGTCAATCCTTTCAGTGTTTAGGCATTTAGAAGGGTCGAAAATAGTCCTATAACCAGGCTTATGCAGTGAGGTAAAGTGCATTAACCTATATCAAGCTTTGAGAATTCATCTTTCACTTTAGTAAATGTTATATAGCTGATGTGGATTACTGCACTGTGCATGACACTATATTCCTCTTTGCACTGCTGTATTTAATAAGCCTGCCCATGTCTCTGAATGCCGCAATGCGACTGTCATTATAGTTTGTAGTAGATAGTCTGTTCTTTTTTTCCCCAAAGCTGCTAGAACAGTATTGTCCTTACTGCTTTCTACTGTCTAACTTGAATTTTCTTAAGCTGCTCTCGCTGCTAACACCTTCTCTATTATCTCCTTGAGCACGTATTCACTTTATGGTTGTGAAGTGCAAGAATTGGCCATTTCATTGTTCCTCAGTGGTTTTCAGCTGAGGCGCTTAATATTTGGGGTGGGGGGGATTATATTTTTATATAATTTCACTCTTATCTCAAAGATGCATGTTTGCACTTTAATACAATGGTCAGGGCAGGGTTGCGAGACAGAGTTCTTGATATGGATTGATCTGAGCTCAGAAAAGGTGAAAGTTTGTATTTTATTCATAATGTCTGGATGTATGGCTATAGAACAGCTTTGTGGTTATCAGATGTGGATCTGACTAAAACCAGTCAACCTCCAGTTTCTGCTGTATGTGGGGCTAGGTTATCCAATGGTGGGATCTAAGATATTAATGACCACGTTTAACTGTTGCAGACCTGAGGACTGATATGGAGTGTGATGGGTTTTTTTAAAAGAGTGATTGGCATTGACTGGAACATATTGTGTTTTTGGTTTTTTTTCTGCTTTTTTTTTTAAATTATTTTTGGAATAGTTTAATGTTTGAATCTTCTGTTCACCATTATTTAGGATGAAAAACATCAGTTCAGTCACTTTATAAGTTTCATACAAATTGTTGGATAATATGTGTGCATCCATGCACATATAATATAGACTCTGCTTGAGATACTGCTAAAGGTTTTGTCATTTTACCTTTTCACCCAGTATCATGCAATAGTCTTAGAATTGTATGGGTCCAATGCTCACTATTTATGTTTGAAACCAAGTGCATCCCTAATAGGTACAGAATAAGCAGCTGCGTAATAAACCATGTGCACACTATCAAAACCAAGCCAACCTGCTAAACAAAAAGACCTGTTTTTTAGTACCTCCTAATATAATGGGTTATTATGTATTGTGTTGGTGCAGACTGTGCTTAGGGTGCTCTTGGTTACAGTTTATTATATCTGTCTTTGGTCTTATTGAGAGGTTAATATAGTACCTTAACTGGTGAAACAATATAGAAGGCCAACATTGGTAGTTTTCTTTTTTGTCAGACTGAGATTTTTTTTCCAGTTATCTGTTTAGGTGTGCAGATTTATTTATTTAATGTTGTAGATTCAGTGTAATTTTTTTTTCATTACATTTGACTTGTTAATTGTATTATGTGTGTATTTGTCTGGTTTAAATTGCCTAAAGTAAAAGCTTAAACAGGATAAAATGCCTTTTAAAAAATTTGTATATTTTGCAGTTGCTGGACCAATAAAAAAAAACTCTTGTAGAATCTATCTTTATCTGTTCATACGTTATTGCATCCTTTTTGTCTTTTTTTTTAATTAACATTTAAAAAAAAAAAATCACATTACAAATCACATTACAAAATACATTGCACTCATTCCTTTCCTGCTTATTGCTGTGGGCACAGGGGATTTTAGATTGCCTTGGTGTGTGATGGATGTGCAGTTTTTGCTGGCTGGCACATAAGGGACTGATTGTCCGGGATGCCATGACTGCATGGGAAGTGCCGTGCAGGCCCTCTTTGGTGTTTTGGGCCCTCACACTGGAGTCAAGTACCATGTCGGGCCTCCTCTGGTGTTTGGTCCCAGCATACCGGGAAGACCGTGGCTCAATGTTTAGACTAATTTCCAGTGTGATAGTGACTTTGCAATGCACAAGATAAGAACCACACATGTGATGAAATGGTGCCCACACGGTTGCAGGAACTGCATTCCCTCAGTTTTATGGGTGACACTTTCAAGGATAGAAAACATTGCTGTAGTCTCCTGCACTTTAGCCAAATGCTTAGATCTGAGGCTCTCTATCTCCCTGCCGATCTGAAGGCTTTGTAATGAACTGCTACATGGAAGGCTGCAGCAGCTGTGAAGTTGGGCACCAGTTTTGGAGCGTGAGTGGGAATGTGCTCCTTTTTTCTTCTTCTGGTGGTCTCTCATTGTCCTCTAGAAAGGAACAAGCTGGTGGTAGCACGTTCTGTGCCATCTGCTTATTGCGTTTGGTGGAGACTTATGCCCACAGCCTACAGCAGGGGTCTCAAAGTCCCGGCCCGCGAGCCGGTACTATGTGGCCAGCTGAAAAGTCGGGCACGCAGTCTAGGACCGCGTGCACGACTTGCGGGAGCAGCTACACGATCTGCATCTCTATCGGAGATCAGTCACTTTAAGTTTCATACAAATTGTTGGATAATATGTGTGCATCCATGCGCATATATAGATTCGGCTTGAAATACTCAAAGGTTTTGTCCTTCTACCTTTGGCAGGGAGGAGGGGGGGAGTTTAATATGTGTTTGCGGGGGCTTGGGAGGGAGTTTAATATGTGTGCAGGGGGCTTGGGAGGG